GTGTTTTGTTTACTCCTTGTCTGAAATCTACCGCTGGCATATACAAATGCACCGCTTCTCGAAACTACCTTAAAAAGCAATACGTGGCCATGGAGTCATAGATATGGAATTTTCGGACATTCGAGAGCGTCTAGAAACTACAAGTACAGAGAGGGCTTTGTATAAATAGCGCGAGTGGTCGACGGACAAGAAGATTGAATTTAAGTGTTAGACAGAAAAGATAAATGGTAATAAATAAATTAAATTATCGTGACAATATTTTTGTAACATCCTGTACATGATATTATAGTATCTAAGTAGTATGTTGTTTTTATTTTGTGATAGTTTTTGATAAAAAAAAAGATTGATTGGTGGCCAATTGAATTATATACATGAATGTCACATTTTTTGAATTGTAAGAATTTTAATAAAGTTTTGCTCTACGATAAACCTAATTCTTTGGACTGGTATTTCACAATTTTCATTTCACAAAAATAATAAGTCATCTTTTTGTTTTTTTTTTATATAAATCATATCATTTTCAAGGTAATAAATTAGAAGAAAAATCACCAAAAACCGATTTCAAAAAGATTTATTCGTTTTTTTATTACGAAATTGAAAGAAAACGCTTTTCAATCGAGTTAAAATTCTTTACTAATTTCGCTGTTTCCCTTCCACGATGTCCGGTCTCCATCTCGTTTAAAATCAATAACTATAGACAGACGGATTAAGGTAAATTTGTACCCTTTTAATACATACATGTTAATACATATATGAATTTTTTTTTCTTTAGTGTACGGCTTCAACATCTAAGGTCATTAGCCTGGTGTTCTATGTAGGTTATGGATTGTACTAGTAGTCTAATACTCCATAGTGTAGAAGTATTAGTACTCTAATATTCCTACACCCCTACAGACAGTCCTTGTTACTGTTTCCTTGCGCCACTTTAGGAACAGCACTGTTAATTAGAACCCAACAGTGAATGGTCGAGTGGACATATATGAATTAAAACATTTAAAATTTAAGAAAGATTTAGTAGAATCTTTTTATATAATAAATATATCGTATTTTATGATTTTTGATTAAATATATTTATAGTAACTTTATAATTAATGTATTAGAGTAACTTTTTTAACCGGGTGCTCATGTAGAACAAGACTTCAAAAGAAAAAAAGAAGAAAGTATTTTTATAATGTCTAGGCAGTAAAAATGATTTTTAGTGCCTAGACAGTAAAAGTGTTCCATTAGTGATGACGGGTACGAGACGACGCCCACATTTCTCAAGCTTAGGCCAGAGGATTGAGGCGAAGAATTCGACGAAGCGTATATATGTAGTGGTAAATTATATTTGTAAATAGTAAATGAATAAAATTTTTGAGTTTGAGTAAAAGTGTTACTGCTGTGATCGAGAAATGTCTCTAAAAGTGATATTTATTGTCAATCAGAAATGATGATATCTTATCCAGATCTACAAGAACATTAGTTCATCAGAATGGCGGATTCTTGAAAAAAATATATATGTGAAGTATAAATTCACACACAGGTGGGTAAAATCAAATGATATCCTAATTTTTCTATTAGAACTTATGATTTTCACGTACAGGTTAAAAGTGAGCAGTTGGCTTTACTAGTTTTGCTTTTTTTGTACATTATAAATATTTTTATGCATACATTTCAGCTTCAAGCACTTCTTACATAATGCTTTTCATTACTATACTATATATTATAACATAAAACATTTTTGTAACATTTTGATTTACTTACGTGTTGCCCTCTGATGTAATGGCATCCTGAAGATTTTCCTTTCTTTTTTTCAAGAACCTAATATATAGAACCAAAAATAAATTAATACTATTCATTTTAAATATAAATTGGTATTACCTTAATCGAGCCAATCGTCTACTTTTTCGTTTGTATGTTGGTTTTAATTTCCCCATCTTTCACAAAAATACACTTACAATTTAAAAAAAGCTAACTCTATACTCACAAATGTAATTTAATCTATCAGTAAATTTAAATATAAAAATAATGTAAACACCCTCTAATAAATCGAACTGCGTTATAACTCAAGGTCTGTTCCAATACTGATCCGAAACCAGTCATTGGCACTAGGATTCTGCGCATTATATAATTTGGGGTCTTAATAATCTATTGCGCAGCATTCTGGTGTCATTGTCTGGTTTCTGATCGTTGTTGGAACAAACCTAATCTATCATAATGCTCCAAGAAAGCTAAATGCGGTTCTGGTTTCCCTAATTCAGGTAACTCTGATTCTTGAGTTAACTGATGGACGTCTGCGGTAGGGTTTGGTTAGGGGAAAGATATATGGCATGAAGTAGACCATTTGCAATTCGAACGTTAAAATTTTGTAGATACGCTCTTAAAAACACTTAGTAAGTTATAAAAATGATTTTAATAAAAAGTGCATAAGAATCGGACAAGATGGTAAAGAATTATCGCTGAATATACAGAAATTAAACAACGTGGTAAATAATTATCGATGAATATATATAAAAAATGAAGAGTTTGATGATTTTCTCATGGATCCCATTGTCGGATCTTGACCAAATTTGTATGGTATCACCCCTAAGATATCCCTTTTTTAACAAAAAAGAATAATAGACATCGGACAACGTGGTAAAGAATTATCGTTGAATATATAGAAATCAGACACAGTTGGTAAAGAATTATCGATGAATATACATAAAAAATGAAGATTTTGATGATTTTCTCAGGGATTTCATTATCAGATCTTGATCAAATTTATGTGGTATGACCTCTGAGGTAGCCAATTTCTAACAAAAAAGAATCATAAGAATCGGACAAGGTAGTAAAGAATTATCGCTGAATATACATAAATTAAACAACGTGGTAAATAATTATCGATGAATATATATAAAAAATGAAGAGTGATGATTTTCTCATGGATCCCATTGTCGGATCTTGACCAAATTTATATGGTATCACCCCTGAGGTATCCCTTTTTTAACAAAAAAGAATAATATACATCGGACAACGTGGTAAAGAATTATCGTTGAATGTATAGAAATCGGACAACGTGGTAAAGAATTATCGAGGAATATACATAAAAAAATGAAGAGTTTGATGATTTTTTCATGGACCCCATTGTCACGATATGGCCCAAATTTAGATGTTATCACCCATGAGGTATCCCTTTTCTAACAAAAAAAGAATAATAGACATCGGACAACGTGGTAAAAAAGTATCGCTGAATATATAGAAATCAGACAGCGTGGTAAATAATTATCGATGAATATACATAAAAATTAAAGATTTTAATGATTTTCTCACGGATCTCATTATCAGATTTTGATCAAATTTATATGATATGACCCCTGAGGTATCTCTTTTCTAACAAAAAAGAGAACCATAGAAATGGGACAAAGTGGTAAAGAATTATCGCCACAACGTGGTAATTAATTATCGTTGATATATAAAAAAAAACATTAATATATTTTTAACTTTGAAACATTTTAAAAAACTGGCCATGGGATTTAATTGGGGCTATAATGGACATATTTGGTATTCACAGAAGTCAAGTAGGTATTACACTATAGCCAAAATTTATAACAGTCAATGGAAAATCATTTTTTCACAAAAAATAGCGCAGGGGTCTTACTAAATAAAATTCCACATTCCGGATATGGATAATCTACTCGAATTGCAGTGGTGGCCTGAGGGTAAAATATTGGGGGTTCACAATGACATAATATAGATCGCAGTACAGATGTAGGTAAAACATTTTTAGTGTTTCAGGAAGGCATAGGTATAGAAAGGTATAATATACCTTAAACACTGAAAGTTTTTTATCTACATCTGTACTGAGATCTATATTCTGTCATTTTAAACTCCCAATATTTTGTTCATGAGTTGTACAGTATATTTTTTCTACGATCCACTACAAATTTTAAAAATGAATTTATGACTTTTACTAATTTATAAAATAAAATTTAATTTAACCCATGCTTTTCGCATGACAACTCAGTACCTTAGCTCTATCGAGGAACCTAGCTTTTTTCATACTTAAATTGATTTTGGATAGTTTTATAAAAATTTGCAAATATTAATATAATAAAATTAAAAAATAATACTAGACTGGTGATCAAATATGAACTGTACAGTTATCTTACTAGAATGGATATGAATTATATTCGTTCAGTAGAACGTAATTGCCTACTTTTTGGTTTTGTAGCCTGTGAGTAGGGTAGATATCCATGTGAATCTAGAAAAGTATACTGAAATAGTATTGTGGTATACCTACCGCGAATACCATAGTGGAATATTTTTTCTAACAGTAAATCGTAATTGGCGCAGTCGAATGCGCGACTAAAATTACAGAAGATCCCGATCACATCGTAACCCTTTGATAAAATAAATAGCAGTGTTATGATTTTTTCTAAATTGGTATTGATTTTCGTATATTAGATACATTGTTAAGTTCCAAACATAGTAATTGTTTTAACACATCTCAAATATATTCAAATATCTTAGAAATTACTAAAGTTATAGGCCTGTAGTTTTCAATTTTTTTGGTATTTTCATTTTTTTTAGATAATTTTTTGATTCAGGTGTAAAAATACTTTAAGTCAAATGGCATAATTTTTTGTATATTTTGTTTATTAAAAATGGGGGTAAAATACTTGAAAGTCCGTTTATAAGACGAATTAATGATGTGGTTATTTCTCATATGATGATTGGTGAAGTGTTTCTCATTTGTAAGTCAAATGACACTATTGTAAGCCCCCCCGAAGCAAATAACAACCGTCCCTTTCCCTGACAAGTTAAGTCAGCTTTTAGGGGTGACGAGAGGGTATTATTTCATTGGATATTTTTTTATTAAATAAACCTACTCGACATGTTATCAATACCTGGTAAATATTAATATTTTTAATTTCTATTTAATAACAAATATTATTTATTTCTTCCTCTATTTGATTTAATTAGGTTTATCTACGTAGGGTTTGTAGGAGTAAATTATATATATTAAATTGTTGACATACCCATCTGTCAAATTCCTAGCCTGCCATCTATCGAGCCGTTTTAAAACGTTTCCATTTTCGCCGGACTTCAAAGACGCGGAGGTCCGTCTAAAACAGTGACCGGTATACAAAGAGGCTTCGGGCAGCTTCAAAAATTCGGCTATCCTTTGAGGCAGCTTACCGAAAGAGTTTCTACCCACAGGTTGCGTCGAACAATTCTTATTTCTATACTGCACGAAAAATCGCGAATGAGGCGTTTTGAATTTCCGCAACGCCATGTATTTTTTGCACAATTTTACGAAATCGACAGAATTTTCGGCCGAATTCGTAACGATGAAGCGTCTATCGATCTCGGTTTGGCTCTTCTTTATGTTAAATAGAATCGATGAACCTAAATCGGTCACGTCGTCTACTAATAGGTTCACTAGTTCGTGCCCTCTGCAAGCGCCTGCTATGCCCAAGATTAGAGCAACCTACAATATAATTTTTATAAATGTTGTTCACACTTTTTTTTTAAATAGGGCTTGGCTGTCGACGGGTATCCAGAAAATCATGTACACAAGAATATCTAACAAAAATACCTAGGAATATCTTAGAATACCATCAGTCCAGACCTTAGGCGGAAACATCTCAAATCAGTTTCCTAACCCTGTGTTTATAACATCAGGTACCGTGCTTATTTTTTGAGAAAAATTAATACGAATTGATTTTATTTGAAAGTGTTAGCATAAGTCGATCCAAGAGTGTCTTATGTGAAGATCACCCTGTATAAAGTACAAAATGAGCACGGGGCTGTACAGAGATTCACACCAAGTATGAGTTTTTGAGCTTTTTAGAGTAATTTTTCAGCGGCTAGTAACATTTTGTGGTTTTGACGCATCGCTTTAGAGTAATCTAGAACAGCCAGGGGCGGTCTAAGTTAAATGTATTGACTAACGAAAATATATAAAGTTTTTCCAACAGACATAAATAAACAGATTATGTATAAACTAACTGAAAATATAAGATTAAAGTACCTCTCGTAATTATATTGTTTCTGTAATTAAACCAACTTGTTACCACGCTGCCTTAATAACAATTAAGTTATATGTTTGGCATTTTATATTTAAAAAAATTGACTTTGTGAGAAGACCTTGTACACCTTTGTACTCAATTCCGACCACTCATCGCTAATATAAACATGGCATACCCTGTATACATTTTAATGGTCTTACCCAGCACAGGTTTCCCCAAAATTCTGCAATGTCCGATTTTTATAATAGCTGAAATATAAAATTACATTTTATTTTAAAGTAGAAAATGGAAACTAAATGCTGCCTTACGCTTTCATTATTTTTCGACGACTTTTTCTTTTAGCGCACAACGTCAAATGTCCTTTAGTGAAACTTCTTCTACCCATATCTCACTCTAAAAGCACCAAAATCGATAAAAATGTTCCGTTCTCTTTCTACATAAAATATATGAAATATTCGGCGCGCGCTACTGGTAACACTTCTTTCTCAATGTGAAGCCAAGATGCAACTGAACTGAGAACTAACCGAATCAGAATCGGCGAACAGATCAAAATAGGCGGTGGGAGCACCTTACAGACTGTTAATCGAAAAAGGTGCGAATACTTCTCAGTTAAATTTTACTTGATATTGGGGTCTATTCTGTAACAATTCCTTTATATTTAACAGCCTTTAAAAAAATTGGCGGCCTTTAAAAACATTTTCGTATTCGTTAATTTACTTCTGTCATTATTTAAACAGATTTCTTTAAGATAGTCCTCTAATGTATTTTAAAGATCCGTTTAAATAATGACACAAGTAAAGAAGAAAATATTTTTAAAGGCCGTTAAATATAAAGGAATTGTTACAGAATAGACCCCATTAAAAGGAAAGAAAATCGGCAAAATTTTGTAGGTTTAATACAATTGGCTGAGAAAACTTCGGTCAAATAGATACAAAAACTACGTTTTGAAGGTTTACAAAAAATAATGAAATGGTTAAAAGGTAGAAAACATAAAAAAAAACAATAAAATAGTAAAATTAAAATAAATTTAAGTTTTAAATATAGGAAAACACGTATTAAAAGAACGTACTTATCTACCTACCCACATTTTCTAAAAATATTCATTTTATAGATACGACCTCTTATCTTAGTAGGACAAACTTTTATGTTCCATTTAGGTTTTGAAGTTATAAAATTATTTTTTTCTTTTTATTTATAGGTCAGAGGAATTTTACATATTAACTAAAAACAGCCTGATCTTATTTCAAGATTATTAATTTCTTCAATGAAACAATCCTATAATTCAACCAAAATCAATATATTTATGACAAAGATCATATTATTGTTGTAACAAATTTAGTTGTATTGGATTTAAGAACAATGTATTATTAAATATAAATAAAGTATATTTAAAACAAGTGTAAGACTATTTCATTTAAGATGTACATAATACTTCAATTGAGCAATAAATACACTTCATTGAATTAGGGGTATTTTGGTTAGGGCAAGTTGATTCTAATCTTGAAGCAAGGCTAATTAGCTATTGTTGAACAAGTATTACTAGAATTTTAAATCGAGACGAGTTTTACTTGCGGATATACAAACACAACAAAGCATTGAAATAAGACCATTCATCTTGAATATAGTACATCTTTTTTTCTGTGTATTTGATCCAAGTTAAACTGTGATTGAAAAACTGACCCTAAGGGCCAGTTTTTCAATGAAAGTTTAAACTAAGTTAAATAAATGAACTGAGTTTAATTGAAAGATGGTGTATTTCAAATGTAGTTCACGTCTGAACTTAAACTCTCCGACAAATTGAACTGTCAAAGTTGGGCGTTTAAACTAAGATCAATGTTTTGACATAATATAGGTATATTTTACAATTTTTGTACATTTTATGTTCTAAGTAAAAATTTGCATTTTAGTTATTTTAGAACATAAACAATAATTATTAAAATACAAACTTTGTCAAAACCATGAGAGTAATTAGAGTGTTATCAAGGGTACTTTTTTGTAGTAAATGAGTACCCATCCAAATTTCATACTCAAACCCCTTTTCTGCCATTGGCGTAGAATTTTTAAAGGTGCAATTATTTAAAAAATCAAATTCTACGCCTATGTATTATTATCGGACAAAATTTTATACGATGAAAAACATAAAAATGTACTTTTTTCATATCTTCTTTAACACCTCTAATCGAGACTTTTAACAAAAATACTAGATTCTTGCCATGTACGATTTTTTGAGGAATATTAATTATTTGCCTGCAATACGTATACAAAAACATTTATTGTTGGTTTCCATAGTTTCATCTAAATAAAAATATTGTCAAGTTTTGACATCTAATCTCTTGTTAACGATTGAAAGTGTTATATTTGACTCAATAATTAAAAAAAACAAATGCGTGATTTATTAATATGGCTGTACAATATACCAATGCAGAATATACCGATATGTTGCTGACATTAGGATTTTATGAAGAAAATGCTCGAGAGTGTCAGGGTGTACTCTGAAAGGTTTCGAAATTGTCGTGTACCTAGCCACCAAACTTTTGCTGCTGTTGAGAGACGTCTTCGGGAGACCGGTTCCTTTGCTCCCAACATTGTTGATAATGGAAGAGAACGTTTTGTAAGGATTCCTGAAGTTGAAGAAGACATTTTAGAACTTGTTGAAGAAGATCCAGAATTAAGCACCAGACGAATTGGAAGGGAACTAGGAGTAAGTAAAGATGTCGTTCATAAAGTGCTTAGAGAACAATTGCTATATCCATACCATAAGAAGCCAGTACAAGAATTATTAGTGCATGATCCTCAAATTCGTTTGGGTTTTTGTTGATTTGTTAATATGTAAAGAGAAAGAGATCCAAACTTTGTCAAGAAGGTTCTCCTTACCGATGAAGCGGGTTTTACAAGAAGATGTATAACAATACCCATAATGAACATGTTTATGCCGTTGAAAATCCGCATGCAATAAAGGTAAACCATTTTCAGCACGAATTCAAAATTAATGTGTGGGCTGGAATAATTGGAAATTTCATTGTTGGTCCTGTCATACTTCCACGAAGATTAACTGGAGAAAATTATTTGGATTTTCTACAAAATACGTTGCCAGAATTGTTAGAAGATTTACCTCTCCAACTTCGGAGAGATATGTGGTTTATGCAAGATAGAGCTCCACCACACTTTTCTTTAAACGTTAGAAACCACTTGAATGAACAATATCCACACAAATGAATAGGCAGAGGTAATGACGCACTTGTAAACTGGCCACCACGTTCCCCAAACCTAACACCGATGGATTATTTTTTATGGGGACATCTGAAATCCACAGTTTACAGGGAACCTGTAGAAAATGAGGAACAACTCTGGCAACGTATTCAAGATGCAATAAACAATCTTAGAGGTGATGAAGAAGTTATGGAAAGGATACATTTTAATTTTCTTCGACGTATACATCCTTGTATGCGTGAAAATGGTGAATATTTTAAACAATTTTTGTAAAATCTCTATTTTGATTATGTTGTAAATAAATATTTTTGTGAAACCTATACACTCTAAATTATTAAAACAGAAATTTAGCGAAAACTATGAGAGTAATCGAGTCTTATCAAGAGTACCTTTTTTAAAGTAAATGAGTTGCGCAATCTAAATTTCATACTCAAACTCCTTTTCTTCCATTGGCGTAGAATTTTTAAAGGTGCAATTATTTAAAAAATCAGGTTCTACGACTATGTATTATTATCGGACAAAATTTTAATACCATTTTTTTGCCACATAAAACTCTACCAATATACCAAATTTCAGCAAAATCGCATATGCCGTTTTAAATTTATATGGGAAAAACGATTTAAAAATTGTAACTTCAAGGCCCTCTGGAGCCCAAACGAAGCAACTTTGTACTAAGATAATTTTACTTAAATCGACTTATTTTGGTCTAAGGAATATGTGGTATGTGTTTGTAAAGACCTTTTACAGACACCCTGTATTTTATTTTCTAGAAATAATGCTTTAAATCCTAAAGTCATGGTTCTGATAACTATACGATTTTTTACATCGGTACCCTTCTTAATTACCACCTCCAAGTATAGTAATATTACAATAGATAAAAAAAAAACTATTTGATACGCCCATGGAGACCACAACTCTCAAAAGTTCGTAAATACTGGCTTCAAACAAAGCCTATGTTATCTATATTTCATTTGTTTATCTAAGGTTTTTGTAGGCAAGTAGGTTTTACCTTAGAGTTCAGAATACGTTCGAGATCGGCTCCGCAAAAATATCTAATAACAGTGCAAAATAAAATAACGAGCAACTCTCTAAATAATAGATGTTAGCGTCCCGCTACCTTGATAATGACACGCCACTGTTCTAGTATTCATAAGACGATAACCGTCCTTGGTATTGGTGGCTGTACGTTGTTGATAAACAGTATCACATTTCAAGAATGACCAACCATTCATATTATTGTATCAAAATC